ATTTATTTAGCTTGGCATTTTTGGTTTTATAAAAGTTTAAAATATGAAGATGTTCAAACCAAAGATAATAATAGTATTAATCTTTTCCCTTTACGAGTTTTCTTTTTAACATTGTTTTTATCAATAATCCAAGTATTTTTCGCATATGCGTATATTTGTTCACTTCCAATAATTGATAGTTTATTTAATTTTCTTGTTGGTATGGTCTTATCAAGAGCTGTAGCAGCATTCTTTTCTAATCAGAGAGTAATTCACAATTATATAATGGAAGTTGATGATGAGAGTAATTGTTTTAGGGTTATAGATTATGAAGAAAATATTGAAAAAGAAGCTCAAGATTTAAAATATGATTATAAGCTTCCAATAAGAATTCTTGCATTTTTTCTCTTTATGAATTTTACGGATGGATATTATACATGGAAACAATCTTTAGTGGGATATGTAAATAGAAAGCAAAGATATTTTACATCAAAATATAGTTCATTTAAAATTAAATGCAGAAAAATTAAATATATCAAAAAAGATCAAAAAGATCCAATATCTTCGCATAATAAAACATTAAACATTGTTGAAGATGAAATAAAAATCAATCAGAAAGATAAATTAATAGATTTGGAGACATTAAATATTGAAGGTGACGATGAAATAAAAATCAATCAGAAAGATAAATTAATAGATTTGGAGACATTAAATATTGAAGGTGACGATGAAATAGACTTATATAGGAAAGGGAGAATATACAATAATAACTGGGATTACTGGGATTACTGGGAAGCAAGATTATCTATCAAAGATAATGAAATTAAATTAATTCAACAACTACGATTTGGCAGTAAAAAGGCAACGGATTTTAAAAGTATTAATGGAAGGATTAAAATGAGCATAAAAAGTCCAGATGTTATAAAATTTTCAGATGATATAAAAGCTTCAAATGATAATAATGGCGATGTAAAAATCCTAATCAAGAAAGATGATAATATTAAGAGCGAAGATGATTATATTAAGAGCGAAGATGATTATATTAAGAGCGAAGATGATTATATTAAGAGCGAAGATGATTATATTACGGACAAAGACATATCAATATTGATCGAAGAAGGGGATAAATTAAAACTAAGAAAGGCAAAAGATAATGAAAATATTAACCTGGATGGTGACTGGAAATTAAAAATTAAAAATGGAGAGATTTTCCTTGTTAATAAAAGAGTGCTAGAATGTAAAGCGCAGAATAATAAAGGAAAAAACACTATTCATTTATATAGGGTAAACCTAAATGGTTCTTGGTTTAAAGATTCAACTAATGAACTTAAATATAAACAGAAATACGACCACTACAAAACTATCGAGGTTGATAAAGATATCAATGAATTAAAAAAGGTAAAATTAGATGGTAATACAAAATTAAAAATCAAAAATGGTAAAATTTATCTTGAATATGAGATAGACGCAGAAGAGGGTATTAGTAATGACTTAAAAATCGAAGATAAACCTTTCAAATACGCAACGAAAAGTACTGATTACTGGAGTGCAATATTAAAGAAAGAAAATGATAAGTTCTTCTTGCGGTATGAAGTGCCCCCAGATGAAAACGTCATACGACTGTCTGTTGAAGGAAATAAGCTTATTAATTTAAAGTACTATGATGATATCAAAAGATTCACAAACAATGAAGATATCAAAAGATTCACAAACAATGAAGATATCATAAAATTCACATACGACAAAATGGTTTATGAAGAAGATTTAACTGAAAGCTTCAAGTCATTGACTATAAATCATGAGTGTCAAGTTAAGCGTGACAAGTGTGAAGACAAAACGGCGTTTATTATAAGTTTCAGAAATGATACTCTATATGAAAAATTTAAAGGCCGTTTTTGTCACAAAGATGAATTGACGGTTAGTAGCGGTAATGACGAGATAAAATTTGTTAGACAACATAGTTTCTTGAAACATCTTCAACGTGATAAATTCGCTATAGAACAAGATGATAAAACCGGTACTATCATTATAAGAATTCAAGTGTACGCACATTCGATAGTCAAGATAGTTAAGAGAACGAATAAAGATGATGACAAGATAACGAATAAAGAAGAAGATGATCCGGTAGTAACAAGATTAGATAATGAAGAAGATGATGACACGAAAGAAAAAGGTGACCCGATAGTAACAAGATTAGATCATGGTGGCGAATTAAAAATTCAAATAAATCGGAATGATCAAAATATTGGCAAGAATGGTGTAAAAATTGTATTTTCTAGAAACATCAACTTACATAATCGAGGATTATTAAAAATTAAAAAGGGTTGTGTTACATTTGTAGAAATGCCTGAAAATAAAAGGTTTATCGACTTAACCAAACATGGGTTCTTGAATTATGTCATTTATCATCATAAAAAACGTGTAGAAAAGTTACGTAATCAAAAAAAGAAATTATCTAATAGATTAAAGTCTGAATAAAGCATATTTTATATCGATTAAAATTAGGGATTAGAATCACCTAAAAATTTTCTAATAATTTAAACATTTTAATCGTTTTAATTCAGCCGGCATTAAGATAATTTTGGTTTCATTATTACATATTTGGCTCAGATCTATAGAATAATTTTTATGCGGTTAAATGATTCCAATTCTTAGAAACTATCTATTGTTATTATTATAAATAGTATTTACAAATTTTGTAATAAATGTATTTTTTATAGTTAAAATAAAATTAAGTTATATATATCATACCTCAGATTCGAATAGGCGTAAATTTAAAATTGTGTAGAATTAATATTTGACTCTGAGATGTAAGTTAATAAAACTACTTCGATTAAAATCTCTTAAATTTCTTTACGATTTCATTCATGTATTTTTATCGAATTAGATATTATACGCTCAAGCATCTCACTCAACGACAATATTTATAGAATTAAATGCTTGTGCATACTTTTTTTTATTTTTCGTGATCTAAGTTATGCCACCTAAAGTATCTTAAAAAATTTTCTACTCAACTAGTTGCCGAAACTTTAACTTCGGCAGCGTCGTTGTTTTTTAATGATTTTGTCAATTTAAATCTTTTCTTGCAATAGCAACAGAATCAATTTATGGAATCATTCTTTACTGAAACTTGCAAATTTGCAACTTTAATGCTACTTGTAATTAGCTATAAAGTAACTATAAAGTAACTATATAATTACTTTATAGTAATTATATTTTGCATTTACTACGCAGCGATGACCACGACGATAGTACACAGTTATTCGCTAAAAATGTTTATTACCAATAGGAACTTATGTCGTAGCTCCCCTAAGGGATCGTTACGCTTATATATCTTATATATTAGAACATTGATTAATCAAGCTACATGCATTAGACTACCTGTATTAGACTTTAAATTAATTTTATGCATCGCATTATATCGTCGATCACGCAATTATGAGACCTTGTCACGTCACGGGATATGGCTCGTCTAATCATATCGCCGGGTATTAAAATCTACACGGCAGGAGCTAATGAATTCTTTTTTTTCACTGAATTCGGCACCTAATAACGTTTAAACATTCACTCTCCAAGCTTGCACCTTTCAAAACAACATCTAAAGATCATGCTTTCCAAGTTTCATCATCACACCCAGACAATTGATCCAGGTACAGCAATTTAAAAAACCCAAGGTTTGATCCTGATATTCGATTTATATTAGGCCACGCAAAGTTAATTTTTCGTTTTGCATAACATGGAATCTAAAAATTTGGGTCGGCGGGCGGGTTTTT